AAAAAAAATTGGCAAGTTAGTTAATGAGATAAATCAACTTATAGAAATGATTAATAGTTAAAATATTATATTAATTATATTTTAAGAAATTCGATTATATAAATGTGGATAAAAAAATATTATACTAATTAGTTTGTTAAGAATGTGATTATACAAAGTTAGGATAAAATGAAATGTAACCAAAAAATATGTATGTGGTCTTTTCCTTTAAGTGTTTGAAATTAAAAATCTAATAATCATCTTTAGATTATATCACCTAAGGAAAAAATAAATAATAATGTTTATGAATATATTTAAAAATTTAATTTTGAATTTCAAATAGAGTAAAAGACGTAATAATTTAAATTTATTTTCAATTTTTTTAAAGTATTTAATATTCTGGTAAGTATACCCATATGAATAATTTTACTATTTTCATACATTTTGACAAGTTTGTTAATGAGATAAATTCGATTAGACAAAAAATTAATTAGTTAAAATAGTGTATTAATTATATTTTAAAAATTCCAGTTAGATAAATGTAATTATATTAATTAGTTTGTTAGAATTGTGATTATATGGAAGTTAAGATAAAAAGAAATGTACCCAAAAATTTGCTTGTAATATTTTCCTTTAAATGTTTGAATTTAAAAATCTAACAACTAAATTTAAATTATATCACGTAAGGAAAAAAAATAAATAATAAATATTTATTAAAGAGATAAATCAATAATATTTGTCACTTAGATAATAAACAAACATTTAAACGTAAAAAAAAAAATAATAATAATAATAATAATAATAATAATATATGTTACAATATAACTTAGAGTTTCAAATAATGTAAAAGGAGGGATAGCTCGTTTTTTTATAAAAAAAGTTTCTAAATGTTTAATATAATGATAAGTATCTACGCAAGAATAATCATACCATTTTAATTTCAAAAAAATGGCAAGTTTGTTAGAGAGATAATCCAATAAGATAAATGATTAATTAGTTAAGATATTATATTAATTATATCATAAAAAATCAGTTAGATAATGTAGATAAAAAAATATATTACTAATTAGTTTGTTAGGAATGTGATTGTATGAAAATCAAGATAAAATGAAATTTGCCCAAAAAATCTATTTTAGATCTTTTTCTTTAATGTTTGAATTTAAAATTTTAATATCGAATTTAGACTATATCACATAAGGAAAAAATAAATAATAAATGTTTATTAATATATTAAAATATGTAAATTTGAATTTTCATATAAAGTAAAAATATGATGATTCAAGTTTATTTTTAAAAAAATTCTAAAATAATTAATAATTTAGTAATTATATCCGTAAGAATAATCGTATAGTTAATTAAATAAAATATTATATTAATTATATCTTAAAATACTTCATTAGATAACTTGGATAAAAAAATATTATGTTAATTAGTTGTTAGGAATGGAAGTTAAGATAAAATGAAATGTACCCAAAAAAGATGCTTGTAATCTTTCCTTTAAATGTTTGAATTTAATTTTTTCAAAAAAAAATCAATAAATTAAAATAATAATAATGGGCGAGATTCTCCCAAAAATTTCAAAAAAAAAAATCTTTTATTGGTAAAAAAACGAAAAAATGAGCAGGAAACTTACATACTATTTTTGTATATTTTCTTCTCTCTATTATATAGTAATATATTTTTCAAAAAAAATACTATTAAAGGTAAAATTACAATTTTTAGGCGAGAATTCAATTACTATTTCGGGTAAAAACGAACATCTATATATATATATATATATATATATATATATACACGTCGATATGCTCATAATGGTGACGTTATTATAGTTGTGATCAAAGTAGTACCAAAGATGTTCCTAGAAAAATCAGAAGTAATCAAAATTGTAATTGTCCGTACCTGTAAAGAACTTAAACATAATAATGGTATGATAATATGATATGATGACAATTCAGCAGTTGTGATTGATCAAAAAGGAAATCCGTAACGACGGTAAGATAATACAATATGATGACAATGCAGCAGATCAAGAAGGAAATCCAAAAGGAACTCAAATTTTTGGTGCAATCCCACAGGAATTGAGAGAATTCAATTTGACTAAAATAATTTCAATAGGCCCCGAGATATTATAAAATAAAATGAGATTATGATATCTTTGAGGTATTTGAAAGAAATCGATTAAGAACTAGATTAATTCGTAGATTGTGTCTTATGCATATATCTTGAAAACTTCATATTCATAAACCAATTAAAAAAAATACATGTTGATTATATCCAATATTCGGACACAAGTCGGGACAAAGCCAAGCCGATAAGTAAAGCAACTATATATATAGATGTTATAAAACTAACACGTTAAATTTCGTCAATGAACCGCAGCTTAAGTGGTAAGAGACAAGGATGAGAAGTTGAAACAGTATTGATCCTCCTCAAAAATAAAAAAGAAACAAAAAAATAAAATAAAATAAAATAATTCGTCAATGCTTTATTCTATGTGTCGGGTTCATAATGTTTAAAAAAAAAAAAAAAGCCCAATTTAAAATTCGTCAATACACTATTCTATGAATCGGATTTTATGAACCGGTTTTATCTGCCAGATTTTATTAACCTACACGTATGCTGCTACTTAGCCAGATTTTATGAACCTATACGTATGCTGCTAATCTACCAGATTTTATGAACTGAGTGGACTGTTAGTCTGACTAATTAAATTATCTCGCCTAATTTTGAACCATGACCACCCAAGTTTAACTTTAAGAGCATCTCTGACGAGGTGTGAATTGTAAGATTGTCGAAGGCATGCAATCAAAAAACTTCTCCAACCGTGATTTTTCTATTTCTATTGGTGATGACGTGGCATGAAATATGACCAATAATTCTAGTAGTCCTACATGTAGAAATTCTTCTAGACTTAATGAGTTATTTTTTTCCTTTATTTACAAACAAAATAAATGGATTATGTGGAGATAGAAATAAACCACCGGAGAGTTTTTATGGACTTGAACCTCTATTTGTTCCCAATTTTACTAGTGTTGATTGAATCAAACTTCAAAATATTTACACAAATTTATTCAAGCTGTAGATTGCAATAAAAGACCACTGCCATTGAAACCAAAGTTCAGACACTTTCAGTAATTTTAGAAGCATTTTTCGCATTTTACTTCACATTAACATAGATAAAGAACCAGATTCTACAAACACTCATCTGTATGATGTATCCCATAGCTGATAGCCATTACTAAGTGCCACCATATCTTACACAAGTAAGGACCCATTTTCAAGTCTTGCCAGCAACACACAGAACATGCAAGGAGACAGTAATCAAAACGAAACAGTCAAGCCAAGAAGTGCCATAAATTGAGCTATGAATTCAGGATGACCTGGCCACGCCGCACCAGTTACTAAATTCCCGTCCGTAAAGCAACGGTGGATTGGGTCGGGTTCTAACCAAGTGGCCCCCGCCAGGACAACGTTAAGTTTCACTGCCGGGTATGCCGTGCACTTCTTGCCCTGCGAATCATTCATCATTTAACAAAAAGGGGAATAAAACGAAAGGAAAACAATGAATAATTGCACCTAATAACACAATCTCACAACCTTCACTTATTTTTGCAAAAACAATACTGCTTTTCATTTTGGCAAAACAACTCACGGCTTCTGCATTGTTTGCAAAATTCTTAGAAAATTGCAATTCAACCCCCACACAATACCTAATTCTCATAAACCTCACCATAAATTGCCAAACCAAGAAAAGAAAGAAAAAAAATACTTTGTTGTACTTGGCGTCGGAGATTAAATTGTCACTTGACAAAATCGAACCACTTCAAACTAACAAAATTTTGTGACCCCACAATTACGTGCTACATTGAACAACATGACTTAAGCCAAAATTAGAAATATATAAAACATAAACGTGATGAAATTAATGAGATACACTGCCTAAACCACAAGCTTGCATTATTTAGAGCCAACACAAATATTTGTAAGGTTGGTTAAAGAAGGGATGAATATAGACACACTACAACTATAGTGTTCAAAGAGGTCAAGTTTAACAGCAGTCCACAAAATTATCCAGTGTTCTATATAATTCTTTCTTTCATAATTATCTTAACAATGCATGATACAGTCAAAGTGAGCTGTATATGACTCCAGAAGTTTCTCAAAAAAATAGAGTACTATGCCAAACCTCAACGACCCTACCATTTTTCTTCATAATATAGAAACAGAAACTCAGCCATTTAAAAGCCTATTTTCTATTATCAGTTAAATATTACCATGACCAAGCTTCATTATTCAAGAAATGGTTTTGTCTAATGACAAATTGATACCGCCTAAACAAAAAATCATGAAGGAGAAAAGGCACCAAAACAAGAAACACGACAAAATAACACTTGTAAGGTCAAAACACTATACCTTCAAAACACCAGCAGCAGATAAAATCTGCTGCCCATGGCAGATGGATGCTACCGGCTTCCCTGATCCCATAAACTCCTTCACCAGCTCAATAACTTTTCCATTCAATGCCAAATACTCAGGGGCCCGGCCCCCAGGAATAACGAGCCCATCATAGCGTGAAGCATCCAGGCCTTCAAAATCAGCCGTTAAACTGAAGTTGTGGCCCGGCTTCTCACTATACGTCTGATCACCTTCAAAGTCATGAACAGCAGTAGGACAAGTCTCTCCCGCTTTTTTCCCAGGGCAAATAGCGTCCACGTGGCAGTCGAGGGCTTGAAGGGACTGGAACGGAACCATTACCTCATAATCTTCCATGTAATCCTGACAACAAATGGATAAAGTAAGCCACTATGCTAAAGGCAATAGATTCCTAATGTAGAAATATTCAATTTTTTGGGGAGAGTCGGCTTATATGAATCTATTACTAAATAAGAGCGGATATTTTTCAAGTTCAGAACATGAAACTTTGAAACTAACACCACTAAAAAAACTTACTCCACAAAGGAACAGAATCCGTTTGCCTGAACCGGATATCTTTGCACCCAACGCCTTCATGAAAAGCCGAATGAACTCGGGATGCCCAACGTAAGTAGCCCCAGTGATCAGATTCCCATCAGCAGTGCAGAAGGCCACAGTCTCGGGCTCCACCCAATGGGAGCCCGCAGCAATTAGAGCTGGCCCCACAGCAGGGTAAGCCGTGCACTTCTTGCCTCTGACTAAATCTGCTGCAGCCAATATCAGCTGCCCGTGGCAGATGGAAGCAATTGGCTTCTGCAGACTTTCGAAAGTCCTAACCAATTCTAAAACCGATTCGTTCATGGCTAGATATTCCGGAGCACGTCCACCGGGTATGACCAGCCCATCGTATTTGGTGGGGTCGATTTCATCGAAAGTTGCATTCAGAACGAAATTGTGACCCCTCGACTCGGAATATGTCTGCACGTTACAAATTTGTGAAACGATTCAGGACAATGTCCAGAATAAAGGCAAAAGGGAGAAACAATATTATACACTTTAGCATATTGATACATTACATCGATTCCAGTAAGTCCCACCTCTCACTCATTTAACCAAGATTGCCAAACTCAAATAACTACAGCACTAACAACTAACAAGAAACTTTCACCATGTTTAACAAATATTAATAACAGCAAACAGAACAATAACAAATTCTTGAACACCTATTAGCAGATACTAGGGCTGAGCATGGGACTCGGAGAATTCCGAACCGTCCCGAAAACCGAACCGAAATCACTCCAAACCGAAAAATATCCGTTGACCATTTGACTTTCTCCGAACCGAACCGAAGAAATAATTGGTACGGTTCTGGAGATTTCTTAAATATCCGTACCGAGAACCGAACCGAACCGTCCCGTACCGTACCGAACCGAAGAACCAAAATTAAGAACCGAATTATTAAAATAGATGCGTATTATTAATATATTATATGTCAACTTTGATACTATATAATTTGAAAATACATAAAATGCAAATAAAATATAGTAATAACAATTAAGATTCACTTACATTTCATGTTTAGTAATACTTGATCTATAATTGAATTTCTCATATTTAAAAAGAAATAAAATGGAATGAAAGGTTAAAGATTTAAAAAAAATATTTAAGCTTTACTTAAAGTTGTCGATACTTGTCGATACTTAGCTTTAGTTTATCTTATAACTAACATGTTAGGGACGGTTAAATAAATATTATTTTAATATAAAATTGTGTTATATTTTATTTGATTTTAGATTTTTAATGTTAGTTGAATTTAGTCTTAACTAAAAGTTAGGGTTACTTCTAAATTTGATTTAAAAATAAAATCTTTAGTATGATGAAGTATTGATGAATGTTGGATTTTTTAAAAATAAAACATATAAAAAATAAAATATAACTAGGTGGTCATTCAAAAAAATTTAAAAAATGATAAGAAATCTCCGAATATCCGAACCGAACCAAACCGAACCGTTCCGATAGTCCCGAAAACCGAACCGAACCGAACCAAATAATAAAAATCTCTGAACCGGACCGAACCGATTTTTTGGTACGGTTTTGGAGATTGAGTTTTAGTGATCTCCGAACTTCGGTACGGTTCTGGAGATTTATCAATCTCCGAACCGTACCGACCAATGCTCACCCCTAGCAGATACAATAAAACCCAGATGACAAAACAGCAATATACCTAACTTCAAAGATGCAAATATCCTCGATATCCACTTCACACATCCAAATACCACATAAAGCATGCATAATCAAACCAAATTGGCGCTTAATACTCTCTAATCACACACTTTCCAAAACAATAATCAGTTTAAATTGAGCCATGGTTCAACAAAACCTGATGGCCGGTGAAGTCATGGATCGCAGTGCGACATATTTCACCGGCTTTTTTTCCGGGGCAAACGGAGTCGACGGATAGTCCATACGCCAGCAGTGCTTGAAACGGGACCATAACCTAAGCATAGGTATCACAGATCTTCTCAATCAAACACTGGAAAACAAATTCCGAACATGAAATATATGCAGATACGATGAGACGGATGTTACCTCGTAATCTTCGACATAGTCTCCGCACAATAAGAGGACCCTTTTCTCGCTCGCCATTTCTTTGGGTCGGGATGAAGATGAAGGTTTTGGTGCAAGTGTGAGTGGAGGAAATTTGAAGATGAATCAGCTCAACGACACATACAGATGTCAAGAAAAGAAGAAGCGGCGGTAGTGGTGATTATCTTGATATTTATTGTTGTTTTTATTATTTTATTTTTTTTACTTTATTTGTTACTAGTACAATATGGTATATTACACGAGTGATTGATTAAATAATTAATTAAATACATAATGAAAATGAAAAAAATATTTTGTTAAGTTGGAAAAAATAAATAAAGAACAATATATAAAAATTTATAATAAATAATTAAGTAAATTAACAATAGTATTTAAAATTCTGAAAACTAATTTATACGGCATTTATTTTATTTATAATTTTTTATTTAAAACACATAAGAAAATAATATGAACATAGCAAAAAATTTGGAAGAGTAAAATTAAATGTACATTATAGAAAGAATATAATAACAAGATTTATATGGAATGGTTTAAATATATTAAATATGTGTATATATATGGTAATCTAGACATAAGTTATTTGGTATAAAAAATTAATAAGTATTATCCAAGCCATATTACAAAGCATAATATTTTTCCATGTTGTGAAATTATATATAAGGGGGAATGTTGATTTGTTAGAACATCTATTTAATAGTCATTTAAATGGACGGTTTTGCTATGAGCCATCGGATGGCTCGGCTTGTGGAGTAATCTATAGTTATTCACAAATGATGTACTGACACGTGTCTGAAATAAATACACATTGGACATGTATCAGTACATAAAAAAAATAGTGAGCATTTTGTGTGTTTGTAGTGTTGTGTTGTGGCATTTAAACTATCTTTGGTAAGTCTCCCCCTTTCAGATTTGTGTCAGTTGTAATTATGTGTTTTTTGTAATGAACTAGTATCCGATCATGTGCATTTGCACATATGTGTAAATAAAATATTATAAATTATTTGTATGCATATAATATTAAAATTATAAGTTAGATAATTGTATTATATATTTGTGCATATATTATTAAATTATGAGTTAGACAAAGGTATTATGTTTTTAAATTCGATCATTGATTAAAATATATTTATGCATAAAAAATAACTACAATTTTATCTACATACCAAATATTAAAAATTTTAAAAAGAAGAAAAAACAATAGTTAAATAATGAGATAGTTTTGAAAGAAAAATCATTTTCACCCTCAAAAAGTGCAAAGGTTATGACCGCGATGACAAAAATACCCCCGCGTTAAAAATTAAAAATACTCACAAATGTCACCGCCCCTTTGTCCAGTACTAGAGCCTTTGACCAGTCCTGGAGCGTTGATATATCCATCCAACCGCTAAGATCCATCCTTATTTTTTCTATCACCTGTTCTCATATGATCTTACTTACACACACGCACACACACACACACATCAATCATTTTGTACACGTACACAAACGTAAATAAAATATTATAAACTTTATGTTTGAATATATATTAAAACTATGAATTAGATAATGGATATATTACAATTTTAAATTTTGACAATTGCTAAAAATAAAACATACAATGTAAATAAAAATTATTTAAGTATGTATAAATCACTATGTTGATTGAAAATAGATTTTGGTAGTGTAACTTTTATAATTTTGAGGGATCATGACCAATTAATTAAAGTAAATTATTATTATTATTATTATTATTATTATTATTATTATTATTATTATTATTATTATTATTATTATTTTTATTATTATTATTATTTATTATTTATTATTATTATTATTATCATTGTCATTATTATAGAAACAACTGTTCATAAGAAAATATTTCATGAGATACGATATTAAAAAAACATATATATAATATTGATTTTACAATAAAGACCATTAAGAAAAAATTAATAAAAGTTTTTCCCTATATATATAATTGTAGAAAAAAACTAATGCAAAATTCATTTTTTCAGTTTATTTTTTAGCTAATTTTAGAAAGAATTGGTTACATTTTATATTTATCAATTAATTTTATTATTATGTCATTACATACTGTAATAGTTACTACTATCTAATTATAAAGTCACACTAAATGATATATGAAACTACATACCAATAAAAAGTTCTATTTTAAAAGCTTTTATATTATTTATTTAAAAATTTATTATTTTTTATTCAGCTCATTAAGAATTTTTTAATAAAACAAGTTACTTTTTTATGATATATCGAACTCCTTTAAACTTTATCGTTTCGAAAAAAAAAAAAAAAACCTTTAAACTCCATACACAATAGTTATAGTAATATTTTTAGTATTGGTTCATATATTTAATTGGTTATAATCACTCAAGATTACAAGTGCTCTACAATAAATATAATAATGATTCATATTTAAGTTTTTTTTTTTTTTTTTTTCTGAAACGATAGAATTCATTACTGAAACACATAAATACAACCAGCTCAGAAGCCAAATGAGGGAGGCCTACCAACGGTAGCCTAGAATCCACAGCACAATACTACAAACACTACAAAGACACAAAAGCTCTCCAACGAGAGAATACAAACTCCCTACGGAAGAATACACACTCCCCTACGCGAGAATACAAAACACTCCCCTACGGGAGAATACAAACTCCTCAATGGAAGAATAAACACTCTGAAAACAGATAAAAAACACAAACTCACGCTAACAGCACAACACCAACACAATAACAAAAACACAAACACAAACACAACAGCCAAAACAGAAAATTAATTAAACTAAAGCCCTTCCCACAACAGTGAAACCAAACCGGACACAAACCGACACCGACACCGACACCATCACCCACGGACAACCACCCACAAAGACAGAGATCGGAGACCAAGACTGCAGATGACGCCTAACTAGATCCAAGACCAAGACTCTACTTCACCCGGGTAGACCATCCGTAGATCCGCAACCAGAGAACCAGAACAAGCTCCACCATACCAACCCACTACCAAGGCCCAACACACAAGACCCCACCCCGGCATGCCTCCGCCATTGCAACCGAGACAATACAAAAAACAAAGAAAATCGAGGGACGGGAGGGGAGCGAAACAACTAGTTCTCAGCTCCAACCACCGCCCAAAGTGATGATCGAAGCCACAACCCATAGCCGCTGGAAAGCGACGACACCAAGAGGGCGAATTGACGCCTCACACGAGAAGGAAGCCGCCAGTCCGACGAGCTTTCGAAAAACGGCCGCACGGCCCGATGATGGACGCCGTCGAGATGGCCCGGAGGCCCTATTGGAGGAAGGAAAGAAGCTCGGCCGAGGGTTTGAAACTTCGGATTGAGGATATTTGCTTTTGTAAAAAAGAGGGGCGCAGTGTGAAAATTTCATTTTTTCTATATGTAAGTTAAATAATTTATATATATTGTTCATTTCTGCTAATGCTACAATTAATAAAATGTGAATGCTCATTTCTGATTTTAAATAGCATATCCCTCTACATCTTAATAAACATCTTAATAAAGGGAGGTTTGGGTGTTCCTCTATATGCTTTTTTTTTTTTGTTGTTTTTTTTGTTTTTTTTCCTGTAATTTGCTTTTAGGCCTTTATTGGGCTTTTTGTTTCCTACCTTCCATTGTCATTGTGCAAGAAACAAACATGGTGAATTTGATTGAAATATGAATATGTAATTAGTTCGTTTTTCTCCAACATTAGTTATAATCAAGACTCGACTATGCCAAATGGGTATATAGAATTAAATAAACCGCAGGAATAGTTTGTTTTCTTATTCCGTACTTACATTAAAAAACATGAAATACTTGGATATAATTTTTTTTTGGTTATGTTTGAATTTTTTTGTTTGGTTTTATTAATTTCAAAAAAGTATTATAATTTGTTATTCTTTGGTATATTATAATAATATTTAAATTAAATAGTTATAGTTGATTTGATGTAAAGGCTCGATAAAGATTATTTAAAGTGGTGGTTAGTTAATAGTATGTGAGTGAATGAATAATGAATTGAGATTGAGTTAAAAAATAAGTTGAGTAAAAAATGTTCACATTTTTTTTTTTTTTAGAATTTATGTATCGAACGATTTGTTCTACACAATCCTAAAAAATCCAAATATCATCAAGTACCACTTTATATTTTTATTGGGCTGATTATTTACTTTTCCAACTTATTCTTAAAGGGAGTTAGTCCCTCTAATTTTAAGCAATATGACCTTATCAATAACTCTCCTATGTGTAGTTTTGAGACTTTTTTTATGTTTAATATTTTATACTATTGCTACATGTTTCTTATTTGTCTAGAAAAATACTCACTGACTCAAACCTGAATGGTTTTGAAGAGGCAAACATATTGACTTTAGGAGAAAATTGTTGTAAGTCATTGTTTTTTTTTAGCCGAAGCGATAGAGGTACTATTATAAACCAAACACACAATGTGCGAATAAAAATGCAAAGCTCCCAACAGGATAAGAAAAAGCAACCAAAAGCTGAAAAAATGGGAGGACAGGTCAGACGACCGCCTAGAATCTCGACTCTAGCAATGCTGGAAACCAAAAACTAGACTCATGAGACAACTAACACAACAAAACACAAATAAAAACTACAAAGCTCCCAAGAGGAGAATAGAGACGGGAGTTGCCCCCCACAGGAGAATAAAGGTTGCTCCCTCTCAGGCATACAAAGGCCAACTGACCCAAACCAAAAACACAAGCTCCTAAACAACACAACCACAGACGGCAAAATAAAAGAAAATAGAAAACAGAGACCTAAAACACATAAGCCCTTCCACAGAAGCAAATCCGAGAAAAACCAGCAGACACCAATTCGACCCCCGAGGAATACTTCAACCCGAGAAAGTCGAACCCTCCACTGCTTAAACGCCTAGTTGTGTCGAATCCCGAGCATCAAAATAACCCCAGATGGTCGAATCTCACAGTAGCCAGAGACTCCACGAATTCGCCCAACAGCTGCAGCACCAAGTCGTCTAACACCACTAGCAACCCGGTGCCTCCGGCAATCTCCCTGGAACCAGCGCCAGAGAAACGGGAAGAGGAAGCAAATTCGAGGGCCTGCAGCCCTAGCCACTTCAGCCCAAGGCCACGAGCAGCCGGACCCGCACTCGATTCGAAGAGCAGCCCTAGCCACTCTGATCGGAAGCTGAAAACCGCCAGAGCCGCACCCGACTCCTTCCCGCAGAACCTCACCTCGACCAAAACCAGTCGCAACTCCACGGTGGTCAGCGATTGAGGATCCAAGGCCGAGCATCGCAGAGCCACAGAAATGGAGCCGCACCAACTCCTTACCACTGCACCGGAACAAAGAGGAAGCAACTCCTCTAAACCATTGTTATTATAAAATTTTAACACATCTAAAAAAATAACTCTATCCATTACAAAATAAGTTGGGAGCCCGCACATGCTGAAAATTGAGATAATTGGTATCTCTTCTGCTCAAACTAATTACTCAAGCAAAACAAAATAAATACTATATACATCATGGCGGATTTTAGGACAATAAATTGGTCATCACATAAATAATGTTTGACAAGTTGTCTTTGATTTTGAAAACTAGAAGTCATATATTTACAGTCTTGCGTGGAATCAATTTTTTACCTATTGTTTGTTTATTTTATCAATAGTTTTAGGTGCAGGCATAAGTCTTTTTCGATAGTCATTTGTTGTAATTTTTGATCTGTTGTTTAAAATTTGAGAATATCATCTTTAAACACAAATATTTAAGTATTATGGGCCAGTTGTGCATCGCAAAACGAGCATACTCATTTGAACTGAAAAAAAATTGATCAGTCTTAGGCAAATGTTTGTTAGACCATTTATGCAGGCTCATGTACACCACTAAAAAAGAGCTGATTTTTTTTTGGTTGGCACATCTTAACATATCGACTGTAGGAGGGAAATTGTTGGAAGTAGTTGTTTCTCAATGATGAGATGTTATTATAAAATGAACGTAGCTATCTCATAAAAAAATTATCCATTACAAAATAGGTTGAGGGCCCATACACATTGGAATTAAGATAATTGACGGCTCTTGTAGTCAAAATAATTACACAAACAAAACCAATAGCTTTCAAACTAATACGTGACGAGTTTTACAACAAATTGGTCATTACTTATAATTTATCGTAAAATATAACAGTTTTGCATGAGTTCAATTTTTTGTTGTATAATTTATTTAATTTATTAATACTTTTAGGTGCGTTTGTAAGCACAAGTTATTTTCAATAGTATTTTTATACAATTTATGATCATATCGTTTAGAGTTTGAAACTAGCAACTTCAAACATAAACACTTTGATATTATGGACCGATTGTGCATCCCACAACCAAGAGATTCCTAGTTCACTACATACAACACTTAGTAGAATGTCATGTTTTCATATTGATGATGTGCACTAATTATTATAATATAAAAATCTTAGCTTGGGAAACAGGTAAGGCATTCTTAAATCTTAATGGCTAATTAATAAGTCAGATAAACATAATTAATTAAAAACATTAAAAATAGGGAAGATGCTACTGTCCCGTTACGGAACCATTTTGTCGGGAGATGAATTATCCTCGATGGTTACATAACGATCTAACGGTTACAATTCTCCACGAAATGGTTTCGTAACAACACCGAAGCATTCCCTAAAAATAGAGAAGGTTCCCGAACTATGCACCCAGTGGCCTGCTATAAATAAAACTGTCCCCCACACTCTCGCATTATTACAAGCAGCTCAGTTTTCCTTAAAATCTCAAGATTAGCAGAAGTAAATAAAAGCATAAAACCTAAAAAGACATGGCTGGAGTTGAATTCTTGCCCAAGGAGTATGGATATGTGGTTCTTGTTCTTGTTTTCTACGCCTTTCTCAATATCTGGATGGGGTTTCAAGTGGGCAAAGCTAGAAAGAAGTAATTTTCAATTTTCATTTTTATTGATTTCGATTTTGTGGGTTTCTTGTTTCGTTTTATTATTTTGTTTTTCCGAGAATTTTGGTGATGTTTTTTGGGGATTTGAACGCAGGTACGATGTGCATTACCCGACCCTGTACGCCATTGAAGCTGAGAACAAGAATGCCAAGCTATTTAACTGCGTTCAGGTGTGTGTGTGTGTGTGTGTTTATATGCTTTTCTGATGTAGATCTTGTTGCTGTTGCCCTAAAACTCTGAATTGCATCAATGGTGATGAAAGAAGAATTCTTTGGTCCTGAATTTCCCACCTCGTGTGTTGTTTTCGGATAAATTGAGGATAAATACAAGAAAGATCTCAGCTTTTAGTATGAATTTGGTATGCGTGATTCAACTGTAAAAAACCCGGTGAGGGCTGGTAGAATTGAATCGATCATGAAAAGGGCTGAAGCTTTTGTCACATTATGATCCACCAAGTTCAATGTTCCATAAATTTAGAGACGAATTATGCAAAAACTCGTCATTTTTCTGAAATTGTTATCCATGTTCGTTTTTTTTTGTTGTTCCTGGTTTGTATCATTTGTGTTTCTCTTTTGTCATTGATTGAGTGTTATCTAATTTGAGGTTCTTTGTTTTTTTTTCTTTTTTCCTCTTAAATATAATCGGCAGTGCTTTACGGTGCTTCATTTTGTGCGAATCGTTAAAGAAAATTGAGTGTTGAAATTTTATGGATGCAGAGAGGTCATCAAAACTCACTGGAGATGATGCCCATGTTTTTCATGCTGATGATTTTGGGAGGTATTAGGCATCCTTTGATTGCAGCATCACTTGGAGTCATTTACAGTGTTGCCCGTTTTTTCTACTTCAAAGGCTACGCCACCGGTGACCCTAAGAATCGTTTGTCGATTGGGTAAATAAATATCCTTTGTTGATCATCATTTTACTACTTAAACAATGTAAAGAATGATAAATAGAAAATAGTGAAGAAATAGAAAATGAAACACTTACCCATGGTAACATCATGCTAGCTAATTGATGCATCTTAATTTGTTTTCCTCCTTTAGATAAATGGAAACATAAGTCAGTCGAGTTTTACCTCAAAAAACGGATGATAACTATCGTGTCAATGTTGTTTGAATTCGAAGCAAAAAAGATGATTTGTTTCTTAATATGCAAAATTTCATCCCACTGTTGTTGAATTTGAAGCAAAAAAATAAAAAAAAAAAAAAAATATTGAATTGTTTATTAATTTGCCCAATTCTTCTGGTTTAACGAAGATGCTGAATTAGTTGTGTTGATGCCACTTATCTTCGAGTATAATCAGCATTCGAACTCGAATCCAACATCATTTGAGGCTGCCTTAACCTTTTTTCGTTTGCAGGAAATACTCTTTCTTGTCCGCATTCGGGCTTACGTTATGCACCATCTCTTTTGGGGTGCATTTGCTCACTGCTTAAGTGGGGCTCGTTCTCTAAAAGTTGTACCATGATGTAGTCGAGTTTCGTGTGGTTTTGGGAACTTTTTACTTATGTTAAAGCCCGTAAGTTAAACAAACGTTGGTTTATACCAAGTATTGTTCAGATTTTCTTTTCAAAGATTGCTTGCACCTTGGTTTATAATTATAATTTTAATCTTTTATACTATAGTTTTCAAGAATTGAGCATGCTCAGATTAATTTCTAATGTTTAAATATGAAGATGTTATCATCCTCTGAAGAAATTTTGGGAAGTGCTTGGTTCCCATTTTATAAGCATATATGTGCTTTTTACACTGCTTAAAAATTCCGTAACTGTACCCAAGAGCGCTTGGATGAGATGACTTGGGTCTCTTCCAGCTTAACCAGTGGTCTCGAGTTCGAGCCCTGGGAATGCAACAGTGTTAAAATTCTTGAGAGAAAGTTTTGCCGCCCTTGTGGTCCTACCCGGCTCGATTTCAGATTAGTCGGTTCCTCTGTGGATCCGGAAACCGGAAGGTCCCTGTACCAAAAAAAAAAAATTCCGTAAATGTGTTTGTTTTACCTGATCTCTCTATAAACTTTTACATCTGTAATTTCAAATCTCAAAACTAAAACCTTATACATATTCACTACCTTTTTTTTTTTTTTTTTTTTTCAACGGCAAACTTAAAATTTAGATTAAACTCAAACGATCGAGTACACGGTAATCAAATGTTTACAACCCCCATCCTACACTAGACGCACGAGAAAGGATAAACCTTACCCTACGAGGCAACATGCCTATCAAACAATACAAAGCAATAAAATAAAGTACCAACAAATACATTACAGTACAAGTAAGATTTTAGTTTTCTTCAAGCTCCAGGCTCGGTCCATCCAAAAGCAAGACACACTTCTTTAGTTCTGCTACCTGATCAGATGACTCCAACAAAAGAGAGAAATTATAGCAGCCTGTGACAGCCCCCATTTGATAGACATCAACCAAGCCTTAGAGGTCCTTGGTACACCTTGCAATATCTCGTCTCTGGAAAAAAAACACGACCCTTATGCTCAAAACAACATTCAACCCTAATACCTTGGAAAAATCATCTAGATGAGAAGACAAAGGTTCATTTGATCTGCAACCATACTACCTATTAGCTTTAACACTTTCAACCCACTCCATCCACTCAACTCTGGCCTCAGCAACAATAGCCTGCTCATGTATCCAATCCCCTTTATAGAGCCACTAAACCCTTGCCTTCCACAGATGCCAAAGCAGAAATGCAGACAACCCCAACCTCTCTTCTCTAAGTACCAACTCTTCTGCAGTGCACAATTGAAGTCACCAAGATTGGAAATTAACAAACTCTTCATTCTGTGCAGTCCACCTCATGCCACTCATCTTCCAACAGGTTTTGGCTTTATAGCAATTAAACAGTATGTGGTTTAAATCTTCCTCAACTTCTCCACACCCACCACATATCAAGTCCACTTCCATACCTCTTCTGTTCAGTTGAGTTTTGGAGTGATCAAACCAACATCTTCATAGGAAGTTTTTCACCTTGGGCTTAATATGCAAATTCCATGTTATCCTCCACATCTTGGAGATCAAAACATGATCCGTACTTGAACTTGCTCTCTTCTGGAAGTGAGTCTTATGGTGCATTGTAGCTTTATACACCCATTTGACTGTGAATAGTCCTTTAGGGTGCCAATGCCATATGAGCTTATCTGGTCCTCCATGAGCTGTTAAGGGAATCCTGGTAATGACATCTGCAATAACAGGATCAAATGTTTGGCAAATAATAGCATGGTCCCACTCTCTCTTACCCTCTATCATCAGATCTCTCGCTGTTTTCACTCTCATCCTATCATCATAAAAGTGACACTTACGTTTTAAACGAGGGTTAGTAGGTAACCAAGATGAATCCCAGACTGAAATAGACAAATCATCCCCAACTCTAAACCTAGCCCCCAGTGTAAGGAACTGTCTAACAGATAAGAGGCTTTTCTAAAGCCATGAATCATGTGGCTTGGATTTAACCTCCATCAAGTTAGACTGCCAAAAATATCTACCTTTTAATACTCTACTCACCAACAGATTGGGTTGAGTTAGGAGCTTCCATGATTGTTTAACTAACATGGCATCATTAAATGTTG